TGCAGAACACCGCTTAGTCTCTGCCAAGGTTAGTGGAACCCCACTGATGTGTCCCAGCTGGACCAGCCCACTGCCTTGTCTGATACTCACTGCATTCACTGTAAGGCGTCCACACGGCAAAACACACCCAAGAGCAATGCTACATCCAGCTGTGAGATGAAAAGTGATAGCTCCATGTTAGATGTAGAATGTGACGTGGACATGAAGGCTTAGTCCTAAACTTCGGATATAAGGTGAACAATGATGATGCTGGCAAGATGGGCGCAAGTGTAATATATACACGCATCATAGATACATACATGCGTGTGTGTCTGATACTATGAATATGAGCTACAACTAAATTTTGTGTTATTTCTGGTGTACAGTGGTATGCACTATGCAAGTATCTGTTTAATTACAACTATCTAATTGTCTTAGAATTGTTATTACTGTCTATGAGGTCATCTCAAGTGCCCACAGACTTTGGAGGAGGTACCTCAGTCCACTAAAAGCCTTTTGCTTCTATTCTGTCATGCGCAGCTTGCAAGTGTTTTAAAACAGAGCAGAAACAATGTTCTGTCTTGAAAGCAGATGATGGGATTCGTTTTCTTCCTCTCCTATGGGCACTTAGTAAGAGCACATACTACGGGATTTAGAGAGCAAACTCTTTCTTCTGAGCTGTCTTGCAGACTTACATGGTAATTTTTAATTGGCATGACTAGTAGATGGAGGCTAGCTAGTTTAAAAGGATTTATTATTGCTATCCTTGTAAAATCATGTCTAGAAAAATAAAAATACCTATTAGAGGCTACTGCAGAGGTGCTCATATTCATGAGCCCCCTGCAAAACACTATTGCAGTTTGACAACAGTGGTAAGAAAGTATTCATGAGTTTACAATTTTGAAGGGTTCGAGTTCTTTGTAGTTCTCCAAACAGTTTCAGGAAACTATTTTATGACAGTTTTAAAAGACTTCAAAGACTTTTGCTTTTGGGTATACCAGCTTCCTCTGGAAGACAGGAGTGTGGAGAGAGGTCTAAGCAGAGGTAATAATGATTCAGGTGACATCAGCTCTCCTCATTTCCTGACCTTGTGGGGCTGACAGTTTTAGTGAGGATGGAAACAATGCTGATTTCTGAAGACTGTCAAGTGCGAGCAGTTTTCTGCTGAGTTGTAGGAGGCTGGAGATCTATAAACCTTTTTAAGTGCTGGGAGGAATGAGAGGGCATTGTTTTCATTGCAGTTGGTCTTTGAGTCAGAAAGAGAGTAGTAACTATTGAGGGACAGACCTCTGCAACAAGACTAAGCTTTATTTATTAACTAGTAAAATCTCTTAAAAGGAGAGTGAGCAAGCAAAAATTTTAGTTCTGCTGCTGTGGATAAATAAATAAGAATGCAGAAATTGTTACAATAGCACAGCATGAAATTATGCTGGTAAGGCAACACAAGTTCTTCTGTTTTGAAAACTCAACAGAAATGTGAATAGCATTTCAAGACTGTCCAAAACCTAAGATACTACTGGAAAATAACACCCCAAAAATTTTGGGGGAAGTAGCATAACAATGATTACTGGTTGCAGTTTCTTCAAAGGGTTCATCTGACTTGGGCTAAGATGTTTCTGTATTAAATCCTTGGTTCTATTCCCAGCCCAATCAACTGGCTTTTTGAAAGAGCTTAGGATGTATTTATTGAAATAAAAAGTCAAACATGAAACTGGTGGGGTACCAAATAGGCCAAAGATGGTCTGAAACGGCACCTTGGGAGTTGTTTGGCTTGTATTTATTCCAGTTTCAGGACAGTGTGTCAAACTAACCACAGTGAGCTCTACTGAAGACCTGGTTACTCTCTTTATGCCTGAAAAAAAGATGATGTGAAATTACTCATGACCATTTTGAGGTCTTTCTATACAGAGGACTCAGCTGTTTACTTTTAGCATGTTAGGTAGCTATATGTAGAAACACAAACTGGGAGAAAAGCGTGTAGTGCACTTCCACAGTATTTTTTGCCCATAATCTAAATACTTCCTGAGTTCAGCTGCTCACCTCCATGAAAAAATGCATTTGTGTCTGGGTGTTTTTTTTTTCATGATTGAGTAAAAAGGCACAAAGGAGAACTTTTAGGGTAGCGTGTTACGAAGCATGTTTTGTTTCCTAAATGCTCTTTGGTTCTGGGGTGGCTGTACAGAGATTCCCGTTTTCTGAATGTTTTGGATCTGTGATCAGACCTGGCAGTGGAAATGGTCATCATGAATCCTTGCCTTTTACATGAAGGGAACATGAAAATGTGCAGAACCAGGCAGAGGTATCTTTTTTTTTTTTCTCAAGGGAAGCCTAATCCCTGCCTCTTTGAAACAAAGGAAAAGAAAGCCATTGGCTTGGGACTGGTTCTCCTCCTCTCTCTTCCTGCTCCTGGGATAGACAGAGTTAGTTAGTACTGTACCTCCCAGGCTTAGAGAGCAGGAGGAGGGAAGTCTTATTTGGGTGTTGGTTACAGCTCAATGACAGTGTTGTAAGCTATCATTTCCCAGCTAAGAGTAATACCAGACTATGCACATAACTGCATAAGGTGTGTCACCTCTTTCAGAGAGCAAGGTGCAAGGTAAGCTTAATTTACAGTAATCACATGTGACACCTCTTCCTACAGTAACTTCCCAGGATCCCTCTGGGTAGTTAAAGTCTCCCCAAAGACTTAACAGGATTAGGTAGAAAGGGCTCTTTGAATACTGTGGAGTTCTTTCCCCACATTTTTGCCTATACTGAACATGCGTATGCTTTCAGATCCTGGCTGGTCAAATCACCCCATCTCTACTGCATTCACAGCTACTTTGTTCCCTCCATCCTGTTGTGTTAAAAGTGATAAAAATCTATAAATAAATAAAAAAAAACAGCTAGTCTCTTAATCAGTTTGATTTCTGTCCATCTAACATTATTAATGGAACCTGAGGTCCGATTTTGAGCAATCCACTGAAAGACACTGGCACTTGGCTTCTTGCATTTGGCCTGTCCAGCTGGAGAAATAAGTTCCAAATACTGTCAGTGGAGTTAATATGAGCAGCATAGAGAATTTCAACCCACCAAAAGGGATTTGTTTTTAAGCTTCTCTGAACTCCAGTATCTGGATGAAAGCTCTGGTGTTTAGAATTAATGATGTCTTGGGTTAGCTCACACAGCTTGCAGCAGTCTAGGTGCTGCGGTTTGATGACTGTCACTGTTGGTTGGGTCAAGAATAGCTGCCACAGACATAATCGGTGTGTTTCCTCATTTTATCAGACTGGTGCAAGAGGTACTCATTTTTTCCAGAGGACAAAATTAATGGGTGAATGTGCTGTGGGGCTGGCACATGCTGCCTCCAGTTTAATAGCTGAATTAGAATCTTTTTAAAACCTTGGCACCAAGAAATGTGATTTCCCGATGCTTAGGGCACTATGCTGTAGTAAATGCTGGGAAATCTTGACTGATAGTGCTGAGAGTTAACAGAGACAAAAAATAAAGCACAATAAATCTTACCTGAAGTGTCTGGCTATGTATGAGTTACATATGTGCATATATGTATTGGTCTGAAAGGTATGAACACACGCAGAGAGATTAATTATAGTTTAACCTTCACTTAAAGGGATCATCAAATACAATATTTTTTCACTCAATATTTCAGCGTTGCTTCTGGTGGCCAAGCTTGGGGGGGATGGGGTATGTGTGTGTGTGAAGATTTATAGCCACTATGTGAGATGTCGAATCAAATAAATCATGGGGCAAAATTAAACACATTAACTATCATTCACTATCCTGTAATCTCTTAATGGCTAAGGTCTAATTTAAGACAAACTAGAATCAGGATTAAATTCTGAATTGCTATTATTATTACATGTATTCATTAGGTTCTAGAGGAATCCAGGAGAGATTAAAAAGGCACCTGTGAATTAAGACCAGCTATTAATGAGCAAAGTTGAAGGACTTATCTCATATTAATGACATTTTTCTTATTTAGATAGCCTAACAAACGGAAGCATTAAACTTCACAGATTGTTTGTGTATTCATGGTTTTTGTCAGTCTAATTTATTGTCAGAAAATCTGTAGAGCACCTGGAAATATAATAATGGCCACTGTGTTGCATTTACTAATTGGAGTAGTAGAAAGCTAATTAGAGAGCTTTTCAGGGCAGTTGAAAGGGATAAGATTCAGTCCCTTCTGTAGGTAGTCCCATGAAAAAAGATAGAGGAAGAATGGGAGAGGAGGGGAGAAAAGCACTGCTTTAGTTAGCTTGTGAATGAAGCTCTTTATGTTTTATTTATATTGTTATTTATATTTAACACTGTGAGTTTCAGACTACCCAAGGTGTGCCAAACCCAGGAAAGCTGCTAACCCATTTGAACCTGAGGGACCTCATCAAAGACATGAATAAGAACCTTTCCATTAGCTTTCTCATGCATTTGCGTCAGAACAGAGACAGACACCACCTCAACTTTTGTTGCAGTTTCTGGAGCTCTTGTATCAATGATCTGTGAGCTAGGTGCATTAGAAATCCAGGTTTTCCGGCTCCAGCCACATCTTTGCCTCCATGACAGCACGGCCCAACTATTTGGCAGCTTGGATAGTTAGAATTGTAAAACAGCATCGGTATCTTCTGGGTGTATTCAAGTGTTACTAGAGCACTCCAGTCTGTGTGACCGCATCATTGAGAGGGCATTTCGCTGCCAGCTGCTGTCAGCTTGGTGGGCATTACCCTTCCCCTTGGAAGAACCTGTCTCCATTGACAGCCTCGGCTCTACAGAGTAGAGACACAAGGGGTTGCTCAAGTTGTCCTGGGTTCGGCAACCCAGGACACAAGTCCAGATCATGACTAAGAAATCAGTACCTGCACAGGTTTCTCTGGACCGCAGAATGCCTGGAATTAAGTAAGTAACCTTACGTGTTGGTGTTTTGGAGTTGCAATGAAACAGAAGTACCAGTCAATTCTAAGAGTTGACTTTTAAGATCATATATGTCCGTCTCTTGCTTGATTGTCTTTTTTCACACTTTGCTTTCCCAGGTATCTGATGCTTTATGCCTACGTGAGCATTGTCTATCTTTAATACAAAGGTAGCCTTGCAAAAGTAAATATAAAATGATGCTGCCCTCATCAATGGTAGCTTCCACACTTGCTAATAAAGCATTTGCTATCTTCCAGCCCTCCTCTTCTGCCATTTTTAAGCCAGTTTTCTGATGTTTTGCTTTCAGTAAAGAGGCCATTATTCCTGCAATCTATCATTATAAGGAGCGCTGCCTACTTTAGAGAACCTCTTGCAGCCTAACTGGAATCACTCGATGATTTGGATCATTAATATATTGCAAAATGACAATAAGAACTGAAGTGAGGGGGCAGGCAGATGCAGTGTGCTGATGAAGATGTATCTGCTCTGCTGTCAAAATTCCACTTAGAAATATAGGAGACACCATTGGATTTTTTTAGCTAGAAGGTGAAGTTTTAACACGCCTAAGGAGTATTGATTGTTTAACCCTATTGCTCTGAGGTTGGGAGCAGACTCAGAACCCTGAAGTCTTCTGCTTTTCCTCTAGGTTTTTCATTCCTGGATTTTAGTATGAGATCTTTTAAATCATTCTACTACTGATACGGTTTCTTGAAGCTTTGTTTGTTATTATGATGACACTAAAAATGGACTTACTTTTCTAGGTGTTTTCTCCTTTGGCACATGATTTTGAGTGCTGCCTCTTCTCCTTTTCCTACAAAAAAAAAAAAAAAAAAATCTGAATTAGATTTCATAATATCCATGATTTTTTTAAAAGGATGAAGCAGTAGTTTATCTCCTCATCTGCAGCAGCTGCACTAATCTCATACACATTGGCATGCACACAGGGCAATAAAAAATGACACGATGCAACATTTCAGTGAAGAATTGTAGGCACTGGAGCCAAATCCTGTCATTTAAGACTTTCTGTAAGGGATGATTTATTCTCAATTCGCCAGTGTGGACTTTTCTGGGAGGGAGAGAAATTGTGTGAGTGTTGGGAATTATGCCCACACTTTTTAAGCATTCTTAGTGACTTTGGGTGTCTTTGCCTCCAGTACCCAACCTGATGTGGCAGAGAGGCTTGGCTCTTGGCACACCTATGTTCAGCTTGTTTAGAAAAGCTCTGCCTCAAGCAGAACACCCCAAATCAGTGGGTTCGACTGTCTGTTACCTTCTGTTCTGAAGATGCCAAAGGCGATGGCAGCAAGGGACAGCATTTCAGATATGCTCTGACCTATCAAAAGAACTTCCAAAACTCTACATTTTCTCCATCTGCACAGATCTTTAATAAGCAGAAATCTTCTTTTGCTCCTAAAACAGGACCTAGGACAGAGGCTGGTGGGACAAACCGCTTTTCACATTAGTCTTCTGAAGGCATAGATCAGTTGCCCAGAGCTGTTTCTTCCTTTTTAGAGTCAAATATATAATCTTATTAATGATAATGTTTTCTTGCCAACAGCATGATATTCTATATTGTTCAGTTTAATAATCAGCATGAAACCTATTAACTGCAGGAGCTATGGTGTTGAAAATCTGGGGTAAAATCTTTGGCACTTGAAAATATTAACTAACTTGTTTGCAGTGCTGCAATCTCCTACAGTTAACGTTCTGACAATTACAAAGATACAAGCTCTTAAAGATAAGCTTTCTGTTTTGTACTATGTCTGTGCTTTACCCTGTAGTCAAAATCCAAAGTAAGCCTTTTTGGAAGCTGTGAAAGCTTGAAAGAGTTTAATCTAATTTAATTTCTTGTGATTGTGAACACTTGGGTACCTCCTGGTTCTAACTGAGTCTAGCAATGACTACATCAGCAGAGCATCTCTTCTCAAGCAGTGTTGATTTTGGGGGAAGTAAATCAATTACCCAGCTAGGGATTTCATCTCTATTGTGTTTTGATGCTTTTATGTTACATTTTGTGTTCCTCCATTGCCATTTCACTTTCGGCTTGCAGTAATGTGGAATTAAGCTGCTTTTATCAGGGGCTGTTTCTGCTTAGAGTCAGTTTTCTTTTCCTTGCCTGTGCCTGTCTCAGTTGCTCAATTTTGCTGATGAAAGTTTGAAACTTCCCCTTCATGAGAGGTCAGCAAAGCTTGCAATTTGTCACTTCAAGACACCAGTTCCTATAGCAAATCTCTCATTAAACTTTTCTTGTGCATATCAGAGGTTGAGGTCATATGGCCCCAGGTTGTCTTGTCTCTGAGGGGAGAGCTGGCATTGGAGTGTTTGATTGCTCCACCACAGCTGTGAATTTGAAGAAGTCAATCTTTTCTGGTTTGCACTCCCTCTAGGGCATATTTCCTCCTCTACACAATTTAACAGTGATTGGCTTTTTTAATAGCTTTTGAATAAGTTTGTTCTTAAACGTTTTCCCCCATTTCTCCTCTGTGCACAGTATGCAGTTTGCACTCTGAATCACTTACTGGTTTGCCTTGGTACCTTCCATGGCCTCTGCTCCCTGTAATCATCTTTTTAAGTATAGCAATAATTAATTAAGGAATGTCATTTACACTCTCCACTTCTGGTGCCATGAGAAGAATTGATGCTTATAATGGTGCCTAGAAGTACCGTCCTGTCTTTCCTGTTAAAACTGTTCTGCTATCTGCCAAGACCTGAATCTCTCTGTAATTACTTTCCCAACATTGTTCTGTTAGGAAGACTATCTGTAATCACTCTATGACAAGTTTCCTTCTTATCCTTCCCGTAGAATTCCACTTGCTAGAGCCTATTGGTTTAGATTTCTTCACTTTTCTGAAACTGGGAAGTGAAGGTGCAGTTTCCACATTAATTTAATTGTTCCCCTGTTCTCTGGATGTCTATGCAAACTTTGAACAGGATCTTTCAATGGAAGGCTTTGGTTTGCACAATTTTTCATCTATGCTTAATGTCTTTGGCTGAAGTAGATGAGATTTTAGCACGTTAAATCATGCCCTTCTCTTCTTTTGTTGCATGGCATTTGAACTCCCTTTTCTTCTCAAAGAAACCTGACCATACTGTTTAATGGAAAGCACATCTAGGAATTAGATTTCCTAAATATCATTCACACAACCAGCACAATATTTTCAAGATATTAACTTGTAATACTTTATAGCTGTTTTAACAGAAAATAAGAAATACAGTTGTGGCTTATATGGCCATACAGTGCTCATGCTTCTTTTTAGGCTGGCACTGCTCGGAGTCTCCATGCCCACTCTGCTAGCACCAAGACTTGTGCGCCCATAGTTCAGTGGAATTTGCAGTCAGAGACGCTTCCGTTCTCTGGGGAAGAACAGGCTGTACTTAAAGAGAGTAGGATTACAGCTCAGCTACAAGTCCCTCATGCAAATCCACTAAGAAATTGGGGCTTCCAACTCTTGTTGCTTACTAAGGGATTGGGGTACTTAAATCTTTCTAAGAGGTCAAGTGGGATGGGAATTATTACAAAACAATTAGCATAAAATTTGGTCTGGAGAAAAACAGGATCTTTTCCCGGTTTTCCTGTGCTTTCCACTCCACCATGACTTGCAGCAATTTCCATCCCTGTAAGAACAAAGCCAATGTTACAGGTTAGTGGTTCTTACTAAGCAACCTAATGTAGTTTGTTGTGTTTGCAAAATACCTCCTGCAGCTTCTCATACAGGGTCTCTGTGTTTCTCTGCACTTGCTCTTAATGTAAGCAGTGCCTCAGACACCTAGCTGCCAGTGCAAGTCTGCTGGAAAGAAGAAAACTGGGAGAGAGGGGAGAGCAGCATAACCTGTTCTTTTGCTTGGGGTGCTGAGCTCTAAGGATACAACAAATGAGTGCAAATGCCTCTGTGGCCAGAGAAGCAGACAAAGGGGCCAGGGGCTGGTTAGAGAGCGCATCCTACTGGTTCTGGAGAGAGAAAATCAGAAAGACATTTTGGTGATGGTGCAGTGACTGAATGCAGGCATCAGGCCAAAGGAGCAGCGCTTCAGTCACAGAGCCATGATTCCCCCTCATCACCACCACCTTGAAACAGGAACAGGCTGTATCAAAGCCCATAGCTGGAACTGTCCCTGCCTGCTGTGTCCTTGTGAACAACTGCTGTGTTGTTCTCACAAGTGTCTGGGTAATTGAAGTCACCCTTGAGGACAAGATTCTGTTGGCCAAAATCTTGCTTGAAAAGCCAAAGTAAGGTTTCATTGGCCTTGTCATACTGATTAGGGTGTGAGTAGCAGATACCATACATAAGATCCCCCTTGGTAGCAACCCTTCTAGCCTTCATCCAGAGGCATTCGATAGACCATTTGTCATCTCAGCTCCCCTCCATAAACTCAAATTTCTCTTTTACATAAAGTGCAACTCCAGTTCTCTTCTTCCCTTTGTATCTTTCCAGAAGAGCTTGCAGCCATCCATTGTGGTCTTGCAGTCGCGCAAGTTTTCCCACCATGTTTCTGTAGTTCTTAAGACCATGTAACTTTCAGACTGGGCATGAAGTTCCAGTTCCTCCTGTTTGTGCATTGGTATACATGCACTAGAGGTGGCTGGACTTGGGGTTCTTCTCTTTGAAGATGATTAAAGAAATCATTAACCACAAAAGATTTACAGTCCTGCTGAGGCACTGGATGCTGATTTTCCTTATCTTTTGTAATTGCAGCATAGTCAATTTCTACCTGTAAATTTTTCATTATATGGTCACAGTAGAGTATGGGAGAGACTGTAAGGGTATCCTGTGCTAATTCATAGCAGTGCTAAGTGCATATACAAAGCTTTATTCCTGGTGGTGGTGGCAGGCCTTATAACTGTGTAGGTGGGGTGTCAAAAAGAGGGCAACACTCTTTCACCTAATAGTCAGGAGCTGAACTACTACCTTCAGTTTCCTTTGAAAATCCATGCAGTGCAAGTGCTCCTGTGAAGTTTATTTGATTAACAGGTTGCATAGTCTTTCTCTCCTCGTACTAAAAATAAAAAAAAAGAATACTAATTTAATAGGGTTTAGGGTTTTTTTTAAGGAAAAAAAAAAAGCAAGTAACATGACATTTGTCGCTAAGCAGAGAAGCAAACTATTTGTGTTTCTAATAGCAGCCACTGGGAAAAGAAATATTTGGGGGAAAAAAATCAGCCAGAGGGAATAGGTTGATGAAAGCTATAAGTTCTAAGAGGGTTTTATTTCTTTGCTGCTTTGTAGTTCCTGTGGGTAAGCAAGTAAACCTGACAGTTCAAACTACATTTTCCTCAGTATCTCAAAATTCATTTGACTTCCCATGTTACTAATTATTTTTCCACCTGAGAATCAGCTATTTTGTTTCAGGCTACAGCAAGGAAAAAAAGATGAAGCTTTATTACGAGGGTCAAAAAAAGAGAACTCTGAATCCTTGATGACATGCAGCCTTTTGTAAACAAGAATATCAGTTCCTTTGTTTTTTAGTGCTTACAGTAAGTTTTTAGCACTTACAAGGTGAAAAAAAGAGGTGTTTCTTTGCCTTCGTGAATGAATGAGATCTTCTACTCAAAATCATATTGATTATTATAACGCTAAATACATAATATGTTTGGGAGATTTTAACCAGCATAGGCTGATGCTGAGAATTGTGGAAAGCATGAACATTAATTTCACTTCTTTTTTAGGAAGCATCATCCAGGCATTAATTAAGTCTCTAATTAGGCATCCTGTTACATTTTGCTTTAGAGACGTTAAAGGCCTTGGAAACATAATCTTGGAAATGAGTCGGAATCTTTACATTGATTTCAATAGGATTTGGACAAGTCACAAAGTGGGTGATTAGATTTTTTTATGGGGTGACAAAGAATTAGATTGCAGATATCTGACCTATCCTTTTCTTTTCCTTTGAGTCTTTGATGCTCAGAGAATGTACTCTGAGAAAAGTTAGAGTAAAAATAAGACATCCAGAACAATAGCTTAATGCTTCAGTTGATCTGTGCAAGTTCTGTTGTCATTAAGTGAATAAGAAATTTAAATGCATAATTTGTAAAATGGATGCAAATTCAGGTAGCCATCAGTAATTGTTTTGGATTTATGGTTTAATAGAAAAGGTGAGGGACCAGAAATGAGGTGGTGTAAGGACAGTCCTTCCTAACAGAAAAAAGTAACAAGCAACTTGCAAACAGTAACTTGAGAAATTATTTATAGGTGTAATTTATAACCAACCTTCAGAAATGCAACCTTGCAATAATGAAATGGGATTATTCATAGAGCAAAAGCCATACAGTAAGGTCAGAGCTGAAATATGGAAAGAATATATTCCATGGCTTTACAAGGTCCTGGAGCACCTTAAAATATAAATTCACACTCCCTCTGGCCTGCCTCCTGTGGAGCTGCTACTTTCACTGCCTCTTTCCAGAAGACAGTTCTAGTCCTGTGGTGAGAGGGATGCTGTTAAAAGTGAGGAATGGGGGTGCTTGGTATCATTCAGGGGTTATGCCTCTGGATTTTCATGGGCATCTAGAAGACATCCATGCTCTGCAGATGTTAGTGAAGACTTGTGATTATTGCCTCATAAAACTTGAGGCCTGGGCTGGTGAAGTTTTTCATGAGAATTTTCAAAAATTATGGGAATTGGGCCAATGTTCTGAGGGGTGGTTTTTGTATCTCACATATCTATTACCAATGAGAAGGTCTGATATTTAAGTTGAGGGAAAGACAATAGTAACTTATGACAGAAATTGTTTTGTCATCTATCTCAAGTGTACTGTTTTTGCTTTCACCTGTATTTTCAAAGGTCTATTCATACAATCTATGAAAATGAAATCAAACTTTCACCTTAATGTATATTATTAATAGGTTTGATGTCCTTCTCTGATTCATTAGACCAATTAAGTAGTTTAGGAGAAATGGTAACTACAGTGAAAAATGTAAAAATGTTTTTCTTTTGTGCTTTTAGAGGGAAGAATGCCATTTTAAAGTCAATTATGCTGAAGGTCTAACAACTTAGTCCACAATATGAAGTTTCTGACATGTGGAGTGTGGAAGTGACAGCAGAAGATCATCTCTGATCCATCTCTGAAACTGTTTGATACACCAAGAATCCAACTTCAAAAAAAAGAAGGAAGGCAGCATCATAAAATGTTCCTTTGTAGGTAAGATAATTTATCTAATTCTTTTTATAGTCTGAGAATAAGTGAATCTAGAAAATTCAGTTATGTAATGACCTCTGAGCAGAGATCAGGTTCTGTCATTTCATTTGCGCATAAAGGCAGATGGTGTTTGTACTAGTCTGTCTGTAATTGAACTACTATTTCTTATTGCAATAAATGATTGTGATGCGATGGAGAATATCAAGACAGTTGACAATTTTATCCTGTCCCTTGACTGCTCTTGTTTCCAGAATTTCACTGTATTGTGGCCAGTTAATATCAGGGGATGATCTGGTCACAGATCTGTCTGTGGTCAGGCCACGTTGAAATGAAGTTGACAGTTTTGATGCTGAGCTGTCTCCTTACCTTCTGTCCACATTAGCATGTTTGGAAAACGGTTCTTTGTGATTCTGTGTGGTTAGCAAAAACAATATTTTTTATAAATATTCTTCATTCTCTTTTCATCTGTGATAGGCTAAGCAAGAGTAACTTTGATAAAGGAGATGATACTCCTCACTAGTTTCTTATTACTTTTTCCCAAGCCTGGCCTGTCTTGAGGGATACTTGGCATATCCTCAAGAACTTTCTTTGTTCAGACATTTAACAACTTACTGTAATTAAACAATGTTCTTGCTTTTTCAAGCAGCTAAAACTGCATAGATAGAGCAGCCACTGGGAACTTAAATGTTGAAACATATTAAAGAGAAGGGTGTCTGCACTTCCTTGGGTGGGTCTGCACAGTCTGTGTGCTGAGACAATGGTGGCGAAACAACCGGTATAGTGAAAGTAGACCACTTGAACGTTTCCAAATAAGGCTTTCAGACAAGATGCTGTTGCAATAGATTATTAAGGGGATATCTGCAGAAATAGGGTTTTCTCTTCATTTTCCATTTCTTTGAGGAAGATGAAAAGAGGGGAGAGCAGATCTAAAGCCAAATACTGCAAGGGAAAGGGCCCTTTAGCTGTTTACAGTGATTTAGATAACAGAGCTGTTGCCCTGGCTTTTCTCAGGTATTTGCCATGTTTAATGAATTTCTCAGACATTTCATTTTCTTTGTAATTACCAGTTATCAGTCTGAAGCAATGGAGGATGGTTTAACGTGAACTGTCAAGGAAGTTTATAATATTATCATGTCAACGCTGTACTCTTCTAGCAGAGTTAGAGAAAGATTATAAGAAAACAATATTGTCATTTAATTAAACAGTATGCATGTTAATATTTTGCTACTACTCATAACTTATTGTTCATACTGGCAGCTACCAGCTGTCACTTTTTGGTGCCATCAGTCTGTTGCACTTAGTGCATCACCATGCACTCGGTAATGTTCAGTTCTTTAGATGGTCTGAAAACTTCAGGTAATAAATTGGAGGGGGGCCTTTCTGTACTACAAGTGGTGATTTTTCTCACCCTAATACTACCCTAATATGATGCTAAACAAGATTTCAGCCACAGTTGACTGTTCACATATTTTAGGTGTGATTTCCTGTTCTCACTTTTTCAGCCATCAATGGAAGGAGTACTGATACCTCAACTAACATCTTTGTGTTAAGGTATAGTCTCAAGTTGTCTGTACTTTCAGGGTTCCCACATTTTCTCCAAATCATCAAGTTTATCTGTTGTTTAGGTTTGTATTTAATTTTAGATCTGAACACACAAGCTCCTGCCACTCAAAAGTCTACTGGCTGGATAAGCAGGGAAAGCTAGCTAGGAGGTCCATGCTCATTTGGGTCACAAGGCACAAGCACTGCCTGTGGAAACCATGTGAACTCTCCTGGAAATAGTGCCAAGAGCAGGTACAAAAGACCTTGCTGTAGACCAAGGATGCATGTAAGAACTAACTAACATCCAGAATGGCAGAGAGACTAGGCTCAAACTAAGTCACTGGTACTAATCCCAGCTGCCACCACTACAGAAAAACTACTTTGAACCTAGCTTTATATTTTAGGTCAAAGAAAATGAAGGTTCTTTCCAGTAATGTTGATAGGTCTTTGGCAATACTAGTTAATAAGCATTCAGTTTTCCCTGTGGTAACAATAGCTTTGCTCTAGACTTTTCAGAACATTTTTGGCCTCTCTTATGGCTACCCTCAACTATTATTTTTTACTCTGAGATTTGTGTCAAAATAAATCCTGTTCTTTCTGGAATGCCTATGGGCATTATGGAGTCACCATCCCTGGATGTGTAAATGTGATTATTTGTGGCACTTAGGTGCACGGTTTAGAGGTGGGCTTGGCAGCACTGTGTTAATGGTTGGACTCTGAGCTTAAAGGCGATGTAATCTATAGGTGATGTTTGAGGTAGTTTCAGCTGAAGGACAAACTGTATGTTACTATTCTCTTTATGCAATTGATAATTCTTTTGTGCGCAAAGTCAGGTTTCTGGCAAGTTTAATGCTTGTAAATGGCTGTTTGAGAATGCGTGTGGCACCCAAGAGCAGTTTGGATACCTCAGTGGGACCTCTCTGTGCTGTTGTTAAATGAGTAGATGTTAACACAGTTGCAGTTGTTTAATTGGCTGTGCTATAGGAGTGCCTCCTGCTCTCTGGGCACTTTTTTCCAACCCAAACAATTCTATGATCCTCTAGAAGGACTGAACACTGAGCAAAGCTTTGAATCAGGGTGAGATATAGGGCTGTGAGTACTCTTGTGTTCTTGAATCATGGCCCTATTCTTGGGAGATGGGGATTGCTTGATTGGAGAACTTCCCTCCTTCCTTCAAAGAACAGGAATTTCACTGGGATCTGTAAATGCTTAACATCCCCATAAATCAGTCCACGTGCACCTCCTCAAACCTAGAGAGGGGTGCTCATGTCAGTTCCCATTACTAGAAGACTGTTTATGTCTAGCAGAATTTGGCCTTCAATTTTTAATTCATCTTTGCACTGGAGGCTTTGTAATGTTATGCAAGCAAGAAGAAACTGACTTCTTCTTGCTACATACTTAATATATCTGTTGTTACAGGTACTTCTCAAAAATTAGCAGAAGTGAGTAGAATCATAGGATAATTTGGATTGGAAGGAACTTCAGGAGGTCATCTAGTCCAACCTCCTGCTTAAAGCAGGGTCAGTTAAGAGTTGATGTGCTTTTAAGGTTTGGGGTTTTTTACAGTTCCCAGCAGATCACAGGTTAATTCCAACACAGTGATAATTTCACCGCATGTCATTCATTTCTTTAGAAATTCAGCTGTTATCACTTTTATATGCATTTAATTCATGGGTTAACTATGTGAGCTCAGTAATGTATAGTGACAATTCTGTAGTCCTTTAAAATGCTACACTCAGTATTATACAACCTTATAACTTTCCTCATAGTTCCAACAAGTACTAGATATACTATTGTTATGATAAGTTATGGATCCCCAATGGAGGCATTTAATTTCGTGGTATGTTAAGGGCTATAACAGCCTAGTAAAATGGGGGGAATCTTACTATAAAAAATAAAATAAAATAAATAAAATAAAATAAAATAAAATAAAATAAAATAAAATAAAATAAAATAAATAAAAGCCATGGAATGAAATGCTTAGAGGCATTTCCCCAAGAGAGCTATTTATCAAAACCCAAATCTTTGCAGTAATGCAGTCCCCAGGGACTAACAATGAGAATAGCGTGGCCATCCTTTTTAACAAACATTGACTACCATTTTAAGTCAGAGGAGATATCAGTGGCAGATGAAAAGAGACTAAGCTAATACTGAAGTTAGCATATGATTTTCCTTTCATTATAATTCTTAAAATAACCAAGGAGTTCAGACAATTAATGATTCTGCTCAGGCTATTATCAGTGCACAAACCTGTGAAAGCTTGCTCAGTGCTTGACTTTGATCAGATAAATAGTCCCTTTGGCTTAAAAACATCAATAAGGCCCTAGTGTTTGTGCTGGCCTTTTGGAAGTTTTCATAATGCAGTTATCCCTGTGTGAACTGAGAGCAGCACTCATAGGTTTGACTGAGAATCTGAAAATAGGGCCCCATGCCAATAGAAGTGGCAGAGCCCAGCTGCTTACTTTTCAGCTCCAAAACCTTTGGGTTTTGTTTGAAGCTGTCTGTCATAAATACTTGCTTTGGAGAATGTAAATAACTAAAGATGAAAGGTGATTTCTATATAAGGGAAAATAAGTAAATAGATGAAACCTTTCCTAAACTCACTATTCTGTTTAGCTGTCTGAGTACTTGTTGCAGTAGCTGTTGTAGCCAAGGGTAACCTTTCATTGGCTTTAGCAGACATGGTACTGATCCCTGGAATTGTAGCTGTAAGTGTTAATGAAGAATCCTACAGAACTACCAGACCTGAAGATTCAGGAATCTGGAGCAGGATTAAATAGTAATTTCTGCCTGGTTGATATCATCTGGGACTTAAGTTACAGAGGGCATTAAAGAACACATTATTAAAATAAAAAATAAGCCCACAGCCTGAAAATCAGTGAAGTCCTTCCCTATCCGTTCCCCAGGAATACAATTCTATTGTCCTTTATTATTAAAATATCATAATAGCACCAGATATGGCCTGAGTGTTTTACATTATGGAGCAAGATACAATCCACAGTTAAAAAACTGTCAAATAAAATAACAGAGGGGAGCTGGAGAAAGCAGAGAGGTGAAATTCACAGGTTGCAATTAGATAATGTTATTACCTTGATGATGTTTTCAGCATCTCTATGATGTCTTGGAAGTACTACAGTGTGCAACAACAGCAAATAATGGTTTGGAGAGTCAAGGACTGTTGTCAAGCAAGTTCTGAGTTAGTTGCTTGGGAAAAGTTGTAAGGAAACTTGAAGATGGGAGCATGGCATTACTGAGCTAATGGAAAAAGACAGACTTTGGTCACCATCATTCCATGGTAATAATAAGAGCCTTGAATATGAGGACAAGCAGTCTCAATCTGGAGCAACTCAGAGCAAATCAAATTTTCAGTAGTTAAGGTGGGAAATAATTTGCGGCTTTATCAGCAAAGGAGCTGTATGTTTAGAAGGAACGTGGGGCCATGAATTGGAGGCAGAATGATG